CTATATTTGACATTGATCCTTTTAATATGTTTTAGCAATGTGCGTGTATTTAATATTCTCTTTACGTTATGCAAAATTGTACAAACAGTGGAAATTATAAAATAGCTCTATGCCGCTATATAAACAAACCCTACTCTTTTACTTGTAATAAGACACTGCGGTGCACTGAAAAGCACAGCTTGGTGCGTAGTTTACTTTTATAGTCCCAAAATCTATAGCGATGACGGACGGAAGGACACGCTCAGCCCGATTATATTATAGATATATATATATATATATATATATATATATATATATATATATATATAATATATATATATATATATACATATACATATATATACATATATATATACACATATATATACACACATATATATACACATATATATATACACATATATATATACACATTTATATATACACATATATATATATACATATATATATATATATATATATATATATATATATATATATATATATATATATATATATATGTATATGTATCGTGGAAGATCTGCTAACAAATACATTCGGGTTTAGTGAGCTATCCTACATCCAACTATAGGCACAGAGCAGGGGTCGGCAACATGCGGCTCTTTTGATGTCAAGTTGCGGCTCTTCAGCTCTATGCACAAATACTAATAATTATTTTATTTTATTTTAAAACTCATAAAATTATTGGTCTGCAACACTCGGTAATGAACCAGATCATAAAAAATTTAAAAAATAAAAACTCGCTATTCTATTAGAATATTTAGTTTCTCCATTTTTCAATGTACTTCATTATTTTCTAAAACTGAGTTATTACAATTTAAACATAGCCTGTGCTTGGATCATATTTATCGGGGCACGGGTTTACCTTCACTACGGCCCAGCGCGCCATAGGGCGTGTTGTATGAAAGCCATGAGTTTAAGTTAAATATCTCACAGCCTAAGTGTCGGGGACGTAGAGTGGCGCTCATGTGAACCCGATTTCACAATCGCAGGGGCGCCACGTTCAGCTCCTAGATCGGTTTAATCATCGAATGTCGTGTCCCGCATTTTCAATATTGTAGGATGCTCATTAAAACTAACATAGGCGTGTAGTGCTCGCGGGATAGCCCTGGACTCCAAAATGCACCCTGCAGAGAATATAAACCTAGGCAACATGGTGTTCACGGGTAAGCCTGGGGCGCCTGATTCGATAATTGTTGCTCAGCGTGCAAGTGAGCCTGGGTCTCTTTGGGTCGCGCTATCGACGAGGTGCCGGCTGCTACGCCTGTTGCAGTTTTGCCGCTGAATATAATAATACCCCTTACCCACTATGTAGGAGGCCCGATTAAAGGATGCTAAGTGCTAACATATCCGCTCTGGAACTATGGGCGCCAAAAAATGTATTGACGGAAATCGCACCCTCCAAGGCGCTGCCTATAAGAATTTTTTTTTGTAGAAACCTCTCCTGGAGTGTTCTCATCAACTCCACAAAGTTTCATGACGATCGGATAGAAAGTGTCAATCCGCAATCATCTTTAATTGTCATAAAACGAATCGCTGCCTGCCGGGGCGCCAACCTGCGAATTTGATTTTTTTTTACAGATCACTCGCCAGGAGTATTCTCAACAACTTTCTAATATATATATATATATATATATATATATATATATATATATATATATATATATATATATATATATATATATATATATATATATATATATACCTATACCTATACAAAAATCGTAATAGTAATATTGAAATTAAAATGTTATTGGATCTTTAAAAGGTGGGAAATTTTGTAAATTGTGAATTTTGGCTCTTCTGTCTCAAAAGGTTACAGACCCCTGTTCTATAGGACACAGTAATGTTGCAACTTGATAGATATGTATTATACGGGTTGGGTTTTTTGTTACTTCCCATATACTAGTTTATACAAATAAGGGAAACAACTACAATTATGTTATCATATTGACAAAAAATACCAATACCCCTGTGGAAATATAATAATTATGTAAATCCTTGTTGATTTTTATTTCTTTTCTATAAGTATTAATAACATTTATGTACTAATTGTGTCTGCCTTTAAAAGTTTATTGATATTAATAGAAAATAAATACCCCTAATTAAATTACGAAACTTGTAATTATGAAAGATAACTTCGCCTTAATAAAATGAATTCCTTATATTTAATTAATGCCTTCCTGTATTACATTAATTTCTCAAATTATTTAAACAAGATTTTCCCAAGGTCGTTTCTATTTCTGTCCATGGGCGGCTACAATGTGAACTTTTGACTCCTCAGCTAAGGACAAAGCACAGTAAACTAAGCAGTCAAGAGAAACCTAGTTTGCACACCTTATTTTAGTCTAGTTCTTATGCCATTTTATTTTCTCCATTTGATTATTATATATGCAATTGATGTCCATGTCTTTGATGCTGTGTAAAATCTATCAAATAAATAATTATTACTGATTTAAATGTTTAAAACAATTGAATTAATAAAAAAAAAAAAAAAAAAAAAAAAAAAAAAAAATTTAAACAAGATTTACCACCCACCGCAACATCAATATCCAGAACTTATTTAAAGTTCTAAATCTTGTCTCTTTCCTCTCATCTTTCACACAGCAACCTTTTGAATACTCAATGCGACCACTACAACACCCTTTCAACTAGTCAACTTAAGTTGTTTCCCTACATAGAAAATGCTTCACTGTCCCATTGACCCTCTCTGAAAAATTTCCTTTCCTCTCCCCACCCAGACTTCTGACACTTTCTTTTGACCTTCACCCCTTTTACTGTCAGCCTTTGCAATTTTTTTTATAATCAAATACATGACATCATGTAAATATTCATTATGTACATTTGCAAAACCTTTCGTTTTCATTTGATGTTCAAAATTATGTTAAAAATTTGATGCTGATGTACTTGTTTAATTGCACATAAAAGTATTATGTAAACAAGATTTATTGTGTTAACCAAATTACTCGCACGCAGGGGTCGGTAACCTGTGGCCCACGAGTTGCATTCTTTTGATGTCAATATGCGGCTCTCTAGTTCAATCATTATTATATTCTTTTATTATAGAAACTCAAAAAAAATTATACTGTAAAAACAAAAACTTTAAACGAAATTAAAAAACAATGAGAATAGGTGGAGTAGAGTGTATATGGACAGTTGACAACCTAGGGCATTAGGCCCAGCCCCACAACTATGCTGTTGCCAGAACCGTGGCAATAGTTCCAAGCTTTCCACTATCGAAGTGCACATACACATGTTAGTGGCTCTTTAAAGTCTGGGAAATTTTGTAGATTGTAACTTTTGGCTCTGCCGTTTCAATCTCATTTACCAGATGATTGTCCATCTCAGTTTTTATCGATTTGACCACATAATGGTCCATCTGATTGTCCAGATTATTGTCCACTAATTGTCCCCCAGAAAGTCCAGATGATTGTCCACTGATTGTCCCCCAGATTATCCACTGATTGTCCCTCAGATTGTCCAGATGATTGTCCCTCAGATTGTCCAGATGATTGTCCCTCAGATTGTCCAGATGATTTTCCCTCAGATTGTCCAGATGATTGTCCCTCAGATTGTCCCTCAGATTGTCCAGATGATTGTCCCTCAGATTGTCCAGATGATTGTCCCTCAGATTGTCCAGATGATTGTCCTCCAGAATGTCCAGATGATTGTCCCTCAGATTGTCCACTGATTATCCCTCAGATTATCCACTGATTGTCCCTCAGATTGTCCAGATGATTGTCCGTCAGATTGTCCACTGATTGTCCCCCAGATTATCCACTAATTGTCCCTCAGATTGTCCACTGATTGTCCCTCAGATTGTCCCTCAGATTGTCCAGATGATTGTCCCTCAGATTGTCCAGATGATTGTCCTCCAGAATGTCCAGATGATTGTCCCTCAGATTGTCCACTGATTATCCCTCAGATTATCCACTGATTGTCCCTCAGATTGTCCAGATGATTGTCCGTCAGATTGTCCACTGATTGTCCCCCAGATTATCCACTAATTGTCCCTCAGATTGTCCACTGATTGTCCCTCAGATTGTCCCTCAGATTGTCCAGATGATTGTCCCTCAGATTGTCCACTGATTGTCCCCCAGATTGTCCACTGATTGTCCCCCAGATTGTCCACTGATTGTCCCTCAGATTGTCCCTCAGATTGTCCAGATGATTGTCCCTCAGATTGTCCACTGATTGTCCCCCAGAATGTCCAGATGATTGTCCCCCAGAATGTCCACTGATTATCCCTCAGATTGTCCAGATGATTATCCCTCAGATTGTCCACTGATTGTCCACTGATTGCCCAGATAATTGTCCCTCAGATTGTCCATATAATTGTCCACTGATTGTCCAGATAATTGTCCACTGACTGTCCATATAATTGTCCACTGACTGTCCAGATAATTGTCCACTGATTGTCCAGATAATTGTCCACTGATTGTCCAGATAATTGTCCACTGATTGTCCAGATAATTGTCCACTGATTGTCCACTGATTGTCCAGATAATTGTCCACTGATTGTCCAGATAATTGTCCACTGATTTTCCAGATAATTGTCCACTGATTGTCCAGATAATTGTCCACTGATTGTCCACTGATTGTCCAGATTATTGTCCACTGATTGTCCAGATAATTGTCCACTGATTGTACAGATAATTGTCCACTGATTGTCCAGATAATTGTCCACTGGTTGTCCAGATAATTGTCCACTGATTGTCCAGATAATTGTCCACTGATTGTCCAGATAATTGTCCACTGATTGTCCAGATAATTGTCCACTGATTGTCCAGATAATTGTCCACTGATTTTCCAGATAATTGTCCACTTGATTTTCCAGATAATTGTCCACTGATTGTACAGATAATTGTCCACTGATTGTCCACTGATTGTCCAGATTATTGTCCACTGATTGTCCAGATAATTGTCCACTGATTGTCCAGATAATTGTCCACTGATTGTCCATATAATTGTCCACTGATTGTCCATCTCTTGTGTTTCAGCAGGTTGGACCGTCATACAGAAACGACAAGATGGCTCAGTGGATTTCTACAGGACCTGGGAGGAGTACCGACACGGGTTCGGAACCCTGGAGGGCGAGTTCTGGTTGGGCAACGACAACATTCACTATCTGACGTCACAAGGTAAGGGAAGAATATATTCATTGCGTAACAAATCTTATATAATATATATGTACATATATTTGCATATATACATAGAGTATGAGGAAAAGTCGTTTAGCGGAGCAAAAGCATAAGTGTACACACTCATTCTATTAATGTAAGTATTTTAATGTAACACACATAAAAGTATGCTTACTTTTATACATATCAGAGGGAGAAAAGTCATTTAATTTAGCAAAAAAAAAAACAGATAAGAACTCATACATATTTTATGGAGTTAAAGCACGGGTTCCCAACCTGGGGGTCGCGACCCCCCTGGGGGTCGCGAAGGTCTTTCTGGGGGGTCGCCAGCTGGTATACTAAACCTTAGTAATTTTAAACAAAACATAAATATTTAGAAGAATTTTTGAAATTCGGCTTCATTAACATCACTGGAAATGTAATAGAGAAGAAACAAAGCGCACTGTACAAAGTTGTTCTCAGTCACGAGGTTATGAAATCTTCAAAACTAAAACACCATTTGAGACGAGTCATTCGGAACACACCAAAAAATATATGGAGTTCTTCCGTCGGTAAGAAGCTAGTTGTAAACGTCAGAGACTTGATCGAACAGGAAGTTTTCATCAGCATTAGTGCAAGCATCAAATGAAGTCGCGATTGAAAATGCCAAGCAAAAAAAAAAACAATAGGAGAAAATCTCATCAAACGCTGCATGTACGTAAATGTTAAATAACACATTTTTATCGAAATTAAGCTTTCACCATTGTTTGCTTTTCAAGTTGATAAATCAACAGACGTGAGTTTGTGTTCGCAGTTGCTGGTCTGTGTCTATATTCATGCGGATGATAGCAAAGAAGATTTGCTCTTTTGTGAAGATATAATGGAGAAAATAAATATCTTTTTTGAAACTGGATGATTAAAATGGGTTAGAACGGCTGTGGGGGTTTGTACGGATGGTGCTCCATCTATGTTTAGTTCAAAATCGGGCTTTCAGAAAACAGACAAGATTTAGCTCCCTAACCACTGCCCTAACCAATCTACATCAAGAGTCTATTGCTAGTATAAGTCGTAAATTATATAAAATCTGGAGCCTTCAAAGAACTGAGCAAAACATAATATAGATCACGAGGTTCTGCTCTTCTACACTACAGTACGCTGGCTGTCAAACGAAATGTAAATTGTGTTTTTGAATGAAATCAAATTGTTCTTGGGAGTGCAAAGGAAACAAGACTTTTTGGTATACTTAAAACGACATAGAGTAGTGGGAGAGAGTATCATACCTAGCAGATGTGTTCGAACATCAAGATAAGCTTAACCTGAAGCTTCAGGGAAAATGAACGAATATTATAACTTTCCATGATAATCTCGGGGTATTTTTATCAAAGCTGCAAAATCGGTAAAGAAATTAAATCTTGGAAATATTGTAAATTTGAGAAACTCTGCTGTGTGGTAGATGAATCTGATTGTGAGATAATTAAAATTTTGAAAGAAGCGATTTCTGGGCATCTTGAATCTCTTGAACACGAACTGCATCGCTATTTCTCTGAGCTGAAAAAAGAAGACTCTGCATTTACGCATTACCAATTCTCTTCTTCCCTTGATGTTGCCAGCATTCCCGATGAATTACAAGATGAATTCCTTGATTTGCAGAATGATTCCGAGTAAGATGAAAAACTGCAGACACAATTTTGGTGAAGTATTCACCATTCATACCCAAACGTAAAATTGATTGACTTTTCGAGAATATATTTTCAACACTATTCTTCGATTAAAAACAAAATTAAGATAATTATAATGACATAGGTTGGCGTTAACAAACATTTTTTTTAAATTAAAAACTTAACCACGAAGGTTTAGTGAATAGTATGCAATTTTACTAATGCTATTAAAATAGTTATCAAGAGTAGTTCATATTGAAAGTCTACGAGAAAATATTATTTTAGTGCTTATTAATTTCCATACTAATTTCGGCTTTTTAATTCTATGGGGGTCGCGGGTCACTTACTTTTTATAAAAGGGGGTCGCCACTCGAAAAAGGTTGGGAACCACTGAGTTAAAGTCTTTTAATGTAACATAAAACAGTTACACATAAATATTGAATGAAAAACATTGTTAGAATTACTATTTTACAGTTAGCTAAGGCGTCGTCCATAAATGACGTCACACTCGTAAGGGGGGAGTATTTTTGTGACGAGGGGGAGGGGGATGATATGATGTGACGTCACACTTTTGCATTATTAAAAATCAATGTTAGAAAACGAATTTTAGCCGTTATTGGTGGAGGTAGAAATCGTTTAAAAAAGCGTGACGTCACTTATGGATGTCCCCTAAATGAAATACATATTGTGATTAGATTTTAATGTAAGAAGAAAGAAAAATATATTATAACATTAGCTTTTAATACCAGGCAGGTGATAATTTTTAAATATGAAGACACATCTTGTTTAATTAGACTCCAAAAATTTACAAAACAATAAAATAATCTTAAAATAAATACTCCATGAAATAGTCTAATAAATACACTAAGTCATGATTGGATCATGTGATTCAGTTGTTTTATTTACACTTCCTAGACAGTTGCAGAAACATCTGACATCATTGATAAACTTTTGTATTTATTTAAAAAAAATTGCTCAAGAAAATGCCTAATAATTATGAGAAAACAACCTCTCTGCGCCCCCCCCCCCCCCCCCCACACACACATTTACAGTGCATTTTAAATAACCTGCTTTGTTTTAAGCTTATTTTTAATTGGCATATGTTGTTATCTCGAGTAGTTTTGGGATATTTTTAACCGCCTAATTTATAAAAAGTGAAACTCCCTTTTCGAACCTGACGGTCCATGAGGCAAGTGAAGTAGAGTTCACCTGATTCTGTTACCTCGGTTTAAGTATGTGTAATATGGTCAGTGCTATACCCAGCCGCCTTTACTTTCCCTAGCGTGGGTCAGATACCCACCAGAGCTGGCTGGACGTTATACTGACTTGAACCTGGATTCGAACTCGAAACTTAAGGGTTAGCAGTCTAGCGCTCCACCCATGCAAACCCATTAATATAGCGCTTTTACTTGCTTAGCTCTTGTGCATGCTAATTTGAATTATGTTGAACGAGCCGGCCCGCGGCATAACATACGCCGCTATTTAGTTGTTTCTAATTTTCAATAATTCATAATTTGTGAATTCGACAGTACCAACGCTGACACTGAAAATATTTCTTTAAAACACTATAAGTAGCTCGTTAAGGACCATAACCCCCCCCCCCTTCCTTCCCTCCCCCCCCTCCTCCCCCCCTACGTTTAAAATCGTTGGCTCTGCTTGTAAACATTTAGAGTGAACACAGCTCACTAAAACCATGTAGGGGTGGGGAAGTAGGGAGAGCGTTTGCAGCTTGTTTTCTAACGGCTCGAAGAAGAGAATTATATATATAGATAGATGTAGGGGTGGGGAAGTAGGGAGAGCGTTTGCAGCTTGTTTTCTAACGGCTCGAAGAAGAGAATTATATATATAGATAGATAGAAACCCCTTAAACATTCTTTCAAGACAAGCGAGTAATGTTTTTTTTTTAACTGCCATCTTTCCTATAATAATAAACATTGTCTGAAGAAACATTTCAATACAAAACAGAGTTTCTTCCAGGCATTTCTTCGGGGGGGGGGGGGGGGGCGAAATTTTTTTACCGCCCCCCCCCCCCCCCCCGAACGAAATGAAATTTGTATAATTTATATAGAAAATATATACTTTTAACAGTGTCCGCCCCCCTCCCCCCGAAGAAAGTCTACCGCCCCCCCCCCCGAAAATTTCAAGTGCCCCCCCCCCCGGAGAAAAAAGTCTGGAAGAAACGCTGATACAAAAATCAACGTATGTGACACATTGCTCTGTTCATCCACCCACACCTCAAGTTATTCTCCAAACTGACATTTCCACCAATATGGTGAACTTTCAGTACATAAAATACCACGATCTTCATCACTCAATCATGCAACTGTAATCATAGAAGGCCTTAAGCAAATAAGCGTTGTTTTTTTTTTAAACGATTTACAAACGATTATTATATAATTAAAAAATAAATGAAAATACCATCTATTCTTAGATTTTGACCAAACCCAAACCACATTTATGTATTTTTGTTTATTATAACGTACGATTAGAATGCACATTTATGTAATTAAGTTAACGTATTTCGCACTCTTTCATATCGCGTTTATTTTTTTAAATATGATTTATCTCCCTTGTGAAATTTCTTTTTACATTCAATAAATATTTGGAATCGAGTTAAAATCATGACAAACTCTACGGACACTACACAATATTGGATGTCTATATCATTAGTGTAGCAAGTCTATTTATAAGTGTTGGCTGTGTCGTCAGTGATTATTGTAGCACGTCTATTTATAAGTGTAGCCTATGTCGTCATTGATTATTGTAGCAAGTCTATAAGTAAAGGCTCTGTCGTCAGTGATTATTATAGCACGTCTATTTATAAGTGTAGTATCGTCATTAATTAGTGTAGGCTATATCATCATTAGTTATTGTAGCATGTCTATTTATAAGTGTAGGCTATATCATCATTAGTTATTGTAGCATGCCTATCCGTAAGGACGACGTTCGCTTGTAACTTTATTGGGTGAGAAGTTGATGTTGTATTCGTATTTCTGACCAGTTCCTGTCAAGATACAAAGAAAACAACAACATGAACTTTATTTACATCAAAGTTATATTCCAACTGTTACGACGATATACACCACCGACGGCCAATAGGTGAACGTTTTAAATACACCTTCTATTTATATTATTATAACTCACTCTACCAAATCCCCCCAAGAACCACCCAGCCCAAGACTACCCCTCCTACGTACACACCCCACCATCCATTTACTCACCACTCTCCCACCCCCACGACTCACCACCCACGTACCCACCCACCATTCGCTCACCGACAATTCTCCCCTCCTCCTTTTGAACTCACCCACGACCCTCCCACCCCACGACCTACCCACCACACCACTCTCGCCCCCACTCACCCACCATACAATTCCCCCCTCCACGTACCCACCCCACCACGTACCCACCCCACCACTCTCGCCCCCACTCACACACCACACAATTCCCCCTCCACGTACCCACCCCACCACGTACCCACCCCACCACTCTCGCCCCCACCACACAATTCCCCCTCCACGTACCCACCCCACCACGTACCCACCCTTCCACGTACCCACCCCACCACGTACCCACCCCACCACTCTCGCCCCCACTCACCCACCACACAATTCCCCCTCAACGTACCCACCCCACCACGTACCCACCCCACCACTCTCGCCCCCACTCACCCACCACACAATTCCCCCTCAACGTACCCACCCCACCACGTACCCACCCCACCACGTACCCACCCCACCACTCTCGCCCCCACTCACCCACCACACAATTCCCCCTCAACGTACCCACCCCACCACGTACCCACCCCACCACTCTCGCCCCCACTCACCCACCACACAATTCCCCCTCAACGTACCCACCCCACCACGTACCCACCCCTCCACGTACCCACCCCACCACTCTCGCCCCCACTCACCCACCACACAATTCCCCCTCAACGTACCCACCCCACCACGTACCCACCCCTCCACGTACCCACCCCACCACTCTCGCCCCCACTCACCCACCACACAATTCCCCCTCCACGTACCCACCCCACCACGTACCCACCCCTCCACGTACCTACCCCACCACGTACCCACCCCACCATTCTCCCACCCCTCCACGTACCCACCCCACCACTCTCGCCCCCACTCACCCACCACACAATTCCCCCTCCACGTACCCACCCCACCACGTACCCACCCCTCCACGTACCTACCCCACCACGTACCCACCCCTCCACGTACCTACCCCACCACGTACCCACCCCACCATTCTCCCACCCCACCACGTACCCACCCCCACTCTCCCCCCTCCCCCACCACACAATTCCCTCTCCACGTACCCACCCCCCACTCTCCCCCACTCACCCACCACACAATTCCTCCTCCACGTACCCACCCCACCACACTCCCCCACTCACCCACCACCCACCATGTAATCACCCCACCACTCTCACCCCTACTCACCCACCACATAATTCCCCCTCCACGTACCCCCCCCCTCCCCAGCATCCAATCACCCTGTACTCACGTCTATCATAGTACTCCCCCTTCAGCATCCTAGAAATCTCCGTGGCCGTGTCTTTCTTAGGGTGTGGCGTGGGCAATGCGTACCTGTACGTCCGCTGCTGGTCCAGACTGTCAAAGTATTTCTCCCTGGTGTAATCCTGATCCACCTCCGTCACAGCCCTGACCCTGGGGGGTGGTCTACGAGATATATTAATACCAGGATTATCTTCTCTTGTATGGTATAACCGTTTTCATTTTAACTACATTACCCTGCTTTCTTTATTTGAGGGATCCTTTATGTATGACGTCCATACTGGGTGGTGAAAGGGGGGGGGGGGGGGGGCGCAACACACACGATACGTTCGTTCAAAATGGACGAGTGTGTGAGTAGTAGGGGGGGGGGGCTAAACCATCTTTTTGGACAACATAAATGGATGATATACAATCACGAATAGCACACACACACAAACTGGGCCGTTAAACTCCATTCTACATTAAAACTGAATTTTTTGTGTACTTTTTTTTTAAACTCACACATAAATGAATTATTGTTTCCGGAAAAAAAAATAATCGCATCGTGTTTATAAAAATAACATTAACCGGTTTTTTTAAAATATATAACAAGTACCTGTTGAACAAGAGTTCGTAGTCCGAAGCTCGAACCGGGGGCAAGATGACGTTGCTGATGCTGTCAAGGGGGGTGACGTCATCTGGTTCGTACTGACTTGCATAGGGTGGCGACCTGATGAGGTCCTGTCTCTGGTAGAATTGGGTAGGGGAAGGGGGTTAACTTCTAAATAAAGTTTTTGAAAAATGTAATAAAGATTTATAACGTATTAGTTTTAAAGAAAACGTTTCTTTTCCTTTAGTAAACATAGTTATGCGTCCCATAGCATTTATTTTATAAAGGTATTATGTGTATGAATCTCATGTTAACTTTAATTTAACAGGATAATAGTTTGAGTTAAAGATAAGTTTGGAATAGTTATCAAGCCCAGCTTAGTTTTTTATTTATTTTTTATTTAATAATATAGATTGAGATAGTATTCCCTGGTTGGGTATAAACTAATCCAGTTTATTTAGCGCTAAACTTAGGGTTTGGGTTTCAGATTATGGCAAAGGATTCCAGCTTAGTGCTTAATTTAGGGTTAAGGATTAAATGATATGTTGTGGTCGCGTACCTGACCAACCTGACTCACCTGCGTCAGTATAGGACGTGAAGCCCTCGCGTTGGCCTCCTGTTGCAGTTCCCTGTTGGACTTAAAGATGGGCTGGCTAGGCGCCACCAGCGAGACGTTCTCCGCGTCTTTCTCTACGGGATTACCCGCTTGCTGTGACGTCACAGAAAGCGGAACACTCCGTCTAGCGGGCTCCTTCGATCGGGTATACCCTTTGGGCATGACCTCGGAGAAATCCTCAAAGTTTTTATTTCCTGTTCCGGGTTCTAAATTTGGTGCTTGCGTTCTCGTGAGGTGAGTTCCGGGTTTCGTTGCCTGGGTTACCGAGCCTGGAAGTACGGAGTTCTGGGCTCTCTGGGAGAAGATGGAACCATGTTCGATAATCTGGTCTTTGGTTGGGGATATAGGCGGTAATGGCCCTTTGTTCAGGTCGATTTTTTCCGTCCGTGGCCTAGGACAGAAACATAGTCTATCTTTATCTATTTCAGATATTTTTAATATGGCAGATACCTATTTCAGATATTTTTAATATGGCAGATACCTATTTCAGATATTTTTAATATGGCAGATACCTATTTCAGATATTTTTAATATGGCAGATACCTATTTCATATATTTTTAATATGGCAGATACCTATTTCAGATATTTTTCATATGGCAGATACCTATTTCAGATATTTTTAATATGGCACATACCTATTTCAGATATTTTTAATATGGTAGATATCTATTCCAGGAATTAATACCCATCATATTTTATTATCTTACTCTTTTGACGCTAAAATAAAATTCAAAAGTAATTTCAATTTTTTTTTAAAATTATTTTTCATAAATAATTTGTAGTGTTTGAAATTAATATCCGATTATTTCTAAATCCCCTTGATTTCCTCTGGACTTAAGTCAGTTTTATGTGCACATGTGTGTTATATTTTTGGATTATGTATGCACGTTTTGTGCCAGTTGGTTAGTTTTACTTTTTAAATTTCATTCGAGAGGGCTTTATTTTCAAAAGGAACACAACTTCTTAGGCCACAAAACAGCTTGAAGTGAACCCGAATAGAATAACAGAATTCCATGTCCATTTCTTAAAAGAGTTATTCAACACTTGCAAACCGATTTCAAAAAAAAAATTATTAAAAAATAAATTTAAAAAATCGGATGTCTAAACCTACATTTCCTACACCAACTGTCTAACTTGCAAAAGACATAACTTACTGTTTCTGCGAGTTGCTAAATGCGTGGGTGGGACGGTAGGACTGCACAGACCAGGGGTAGGCCAGCACTTCCTCTTGTGATGGCTGGACATGCGCAGCACAGTGGGGACATCGCAGCTGTTAACAGAGCAGTTAGATGTTAACAGAGAGGAGAGCAGTTAGATGTTAACGGAGAGGAGAGCAGTTAGATGTTAACGGAGAGGAGAGCAGTTAGATGTTAACAGAAAGTATATCAGTTAGATGTTAACAGAGAGGAGAGCAGTTAGATGTTAACAAATAGTAGATGAGGTGTGAGATGTTAACAAATAGTCGGTCAGGGTGTGGGATATTAACTGTAGATCAGAATGGAGATGTTAAAAGAAAGTAGATCAGATGTGAGATGTTAACAAATAGTAGACAGATGTGGGAAGTTAACTGTAGATCAGAATGGAGATGTTAAAAGAAAGTAGATCAGAAGTGAGATCAGACAGACAGGTGTCAACAGAGAATATATCAGATAGATGTTAACGTAAAGTCGATTTGATTGGAGATGTTAACAAACAGAAGTACTGACAGACGATAACAGATATTAGATCAACTAGGAGAAGTTAACAGAGAGTAGATGAGACCGAAGATGTTAACGTCTTAAAACATTAGACAAAAGATGTTAGTAGATAGTACACTAGACATACAAGTTAACTGATAGTGCACTTGACATAGATGTTAAGTGATAGTACACTAGACATATTTGTCAACATCAGACGTCAGATGTTAACAGAAAGTAGATCAGGTGTGGGATGTTAACAACGAGTAGATTAGACTAGAGAAGTTAACATAGAGCATATCAAACAGGATATGTTACACGACGGATATACATATTTATTTTCTTTCAGCCATCCACTACTCCGCTAGTGGAAAAAATGTTTTAATACCTAGTGTTTTGTTGCTAAGATTTAAAATATTAATTCATTATTCAACATTGTTAATAAATTTAGCATTTAATATATAATTAACTATTAATAATTGAATGGCATGCTTCTGATAATTAACATATAACCTTTAAATACCTCATCGTAGTGCATAGATGGGATAGCTTTGCTTGACTTTTCCGGACAGGAATGGAACACGCAATCAGAACGTCGCTTTCTTCTTCTTCTATAAACAAAATACATAACACTAGGCTATCTTTTTGAACACAATTATTACGGGGACATAACCGTCGATACAATGTGGAAATAAATTATGTCATTTAATATGTTTCACAAAGAAAGAAAAATGCTAAATATGAAAGCTATTTTAAATTTGTCTGATTGTACTTTATTCAGTTATATGTTTTTAATGTAACATGGTATTTTTTCAGCACTACATTTATACAGAATAGCATTTTATTCAGTTTCCTAGCACCACACATGTTTTTTCAATGAATTTTCAATATATATTGGTTTATATAATTAAAATTAGTTTCTCCCTCACCCATTTCAATATACATTACTATAGTATACTATAAGAATATAATGATGCTTGTAACTTCAAAGGTCTCGCAATAAGATTAAAAGCACATAATGCATCTCAAATGTTTCATATTATTATAGTAACTTTTACTTGCTTGATTTACATAATGAATTTAACACTTCCGAATGTCTTACAAAATGAAACCACCTATACACTCAGTCTCACATAATTCGCTTCACGGACTTAATTATACAGAATCATTTTTGTAATACAAATGGGAGCAGGGTATTACCCCCCCCCCCCCCTCCACCCCGACATTACCATCCGGAGCTATTACCCCCAATGTCAATTCCCCCCCCCCCCTATCCCCTCTCTATTACCCCCCTACCTTCCGCCCAGTTATTGTTAGGGTTAGGGTGAGGGTTAGATTAGTGTTATGGTTAGAGTTAGATGTAGGATTAGATCTAGGTTTAGAGTTGGTGTTAAGATTTACGTTGGGGTTAGTGTTAGCTATAGTTTTGAGGTTTAGGTTTAGGGGTCAGGGTTCTTCGGGATGGGGAGGGGGGGGGGGTAATGTCGGGGAAAAGGGTGTGGGATGTCCAGGAGTGATTGTCGGAAAAGGAGTGGGGGGGGTTATTGTCCTAGATAATCTTAAATCTTTTTTATATTTATCTTAAATCGAATACTATCATATGCGATCTTATTCTAGCCATATACTACGCTACACTAAAATATTATATCTCATACTAATCGCCAGAGGCGTAGTGACCCTTCCCGGCGCCCGGGGACAAACTTTCGATTTGCACCCCCTCCCCTCAAGATTTCGATTTGCACCCCCCGCCCCTCAAAACTTTCGATTTGCAACCCCCTCAAGCTTTCATTTTTATTTTTCCAACCCATTTTGGCGCCCCCTAAGGTCGGCGCCCTGGAACGTATGTTCACCCCCCCCCCCCCCCGCCCACCTCTCTCGCTACGCTACTGCTAATCTTACATTCCCACTCAATTCTATGCTATGCCATAATTCTGATCTCATACTATCCTATACTATCTTTTACAATCCCATACTTCCCAAATACAATCACATACTTTCCAAGACTTGCCCATACTATCCTATGCTATTCCAGACTATCCTATATGACCTCGTACTATCATATACGGTCCCATACTATTCTTTACCTTCAAATACTATCCTATACCATTACATACTATCTTTTACTATTCCATATTATATTACACGATTCCATGCTATCCTATTCTATCCCATACTATCATATACTGTTTAATACTATCTTATACTATTCCATACTATAATATACTATTATATACTGTAGTTCCGCCCCTGATACTATCCAATGCTGTTTAATACTATCATATACTATTTCATACTATCCTATACTATTTTATACTATCCTATACTATTCCATACTATCCTATATTATTCCATAATATCCTATATTAGCCCATACTATCCTGTACTATTCCATTCTATACTATACTATTATATACTATCATATACGATATCATACTATCAAATATTATTCCATACTATACTACACTATTCCATGCTATTCTATACTATACTATCCAGTGGCGGAACTAGAAAAAAAGGGCCACCCCGCAAAATTTTTTTTAGGTCCCTCCCTATATATATATATATATATATATATATATATATATATATATATATATATATATATATATATATATATATATATATATATACAAACACAAAATACGAACATAGGTTACTCATTTCTGGTCTGTTCGTGTTTAGAAAAAAAAATTGCTTGTTTTTTTTTCATTAAAAAAAATTACATTATGTCTTGTGTGAAAGTGCATTAGTCTGTTTTGAGAAAATCAGTATTATTTTATTTCTGCTATTAGTCCACTTAACCATAAGTCGATTAAAAGAATATAATATATGAAAGCTTTGTATAAGTAATGGTGTCTCGTGTTATGTTTATTTTTATGTTTTTTTGTATTTATATTATTAATTTTAAATATATTTCCTTTTTATTCAATGTCATTCTTTAGTGAGTACTTTATAAAAAAAAATAACAGTTAAGAGAAGTAATTGCATTTTAATTTGTTTAGTACAAATCTATTAAAAGAAGTTCATGAGCACCCTTATTTGACTATTTAAAAAAGGGAAATAAGTCACGGAAGTGGTTTGAACGTTTGCTTATCTTTAATAAATAAGTTTGATTGTAGGAGAAAGAGGACTCGGCTTTCACAGTGGTTTAAAAAAAAAAAAAAGGGAAAAAATATACAATAGCTTGGGTTTGTGTCTATAGAATAAAGATAATCCAACAGCAGCTACGGTAATCTTTTTTTACAAAACAACCATCAATTCAAAAATGCAAGAAAATTATTTTTTTTTACTATAGAAATATTTATTATGGTCGGCTGTGGGCCCCTAAATGGCGTGGGCCCCCCCCCCCGCATTGCGGGGTCTGGCGGCACTGTAGTTCCGCCCCTGATACTATCCAATGCTGTTTAATACTATCTTATACTATTCCATTCTATCATATAATATCTTTTAATATTCTATACTATTTCATACTATCCTATACTATTTTATACTATCCTATTTTATTCCATACTATCCTATACTATTTAATACTATCTTATACTTTTCCATACTATCCTATACTATTTTATACCATCCTATACTATTCTATACTATCCTATATTATTCCATAATATCCTATAATACCCCATGCTATCCTATACTATTCCATTATATCCTATTCTATCCTATACTATCCTATACTATCCCATATGATCTCGTACAGTCCTAAACCCTTTACTATTACATTCTATCCTCTACTATCCCACACTATCCCACAATCCCATTACACCACTCACCTCCGGTCATAGACAGCTATCCTCGGCTCGTGCTGTGTATCCGGCCTCGTTTTCAAAATGACAACTTCCTGTCGCCGGGAATGCCGGGGCGAACCATACGACAGCGGCGGTTCCGACCTGGCGGTGATGTAGTGAATGTGGGGCTTGTGATGGTTATAGTTCCCCTTCTCCATACTCCTATGGCGGTACCCTCTGTGCCTCCGGGGAGGGGTAGGAGAAGGAGTTTCGCTCCTCCCGAAATCGCTGGCGTAAAACTCGGAACGTGTTTTTCCGTGTTGGTAATCACGGGTGTCGTTTCGGTTTTCGTTGAAATCTGAGTACACTTCCATTTTATTTCGGTAGTAGTATTTCTGTTCTTTGTCTTTTTTCCGATGGTCGAAATTGTCAGAGGAATGGTATCGGAATTTGTAGACTGCCATTTTTTAAATGTCTCTTTTTATACCAATGATAATATCAGCTACATTACAGTACTTGAATTAAATATTTATAATCTCTAAGCAAATTGTTACAAGTTTTTGCTTGGGTGAGTTTGTTAGCCTCTAAACCACAATATAAAGAAAGCGTGTTAAAAGTTTATTTTTGGAACGCATTACACTGTGGTCATAAATTTAAAAACAAACCCCTTGCTCTTTGTAGACTACTTGAAACTCAATGCCCTGTGAAGATATATAAGAATATTTTTATGAATTTTCAAATATAAATTAGTCAATTAATGTATAAAGTCCCGCAATCTTATATTAGATTAGCCATCTAAGTTTATTCTTATTTAGTTTATTCTTATTAAATAAATCCAGAGGAGTAGCGGGGGTGGGGGTATATATGTCCACGGCCGCCGACCTTAGGGGGCGCCTAAATGAGTTGGAAAAAAATAATTAAAAGCTCATTTTAGCTGCAGTTTTGCATTATAACTATCAAAATATATGGGGGAGGGGGAGGGGCGCCAAATTGAAAGTTTGTCCTCTGGCACCGGGAAGGGTCGCTACGCTTCTGAATAAACCCCACACCAATGAAATACAAATCTTAGAAAAATCAAATTTATTTTAATTAGGATGTAGATTAATAATGCAAGCACACTTACTAAACGCAATCCAACAACTTAAACACAACAAAATGATAAAAAAGTGACTTGTTTTCAAAAAAACATCTATGTGTGAGTATCCATGAATATAAATTAATTCCTACTACAAAATGTCTTAACTAGTTCATCCTAAAAGGAAAATGTCCTATTATTAAACCCATAATGTAACCATACACGACGATTTATTTCTTTCTCTAACGTAAACTTAATCCTACAAAAGATCTACTTGAACATAACACGGTCTTGAACATTCTATACCTAACTTTTTAAAAATCCCCATCATACCATGACGTCACTAGCTTTCCAAACGTACCCCCCCCCCCCCCCTCTATTGAGACTATGTCGTCTGCTAACAACTCCTGTTTACCGGCCTAAACTTTCTCCACGGAACATGAATACGTACTTGATTCCGCTCTCCGCCCATACCGCCCTCGTTAGTTCGCCCGGGCTATTTTCAAAGCGAGATTACAATAAGCACCATAGTCGATTACACAGGGTATTCGTGTTAGGTTTGTAGTATCAAAGTCGCCCGCATGATGTATATTAGTCATGTAATCGCTTTAATTTATAACCTGTTTGCTTGGGAAAAGAATGAATTTTGATTATTGATTTTTGTTTCTTCTTATCGAGTAAGTTGATCTACGTAATGTAACCGCTCAGTGGAAAGTGTAGTTTTGTTGTAAAGTGAGATTGGCATTTCAGCGAGTTGTCTTTTAAATAAAAATGACGTCACGTTCTTCCGCGGTTTGACACCTCCTTCACAGTGTTTCTTTCAGACATTTTTCTCCGGAGAGGGGGGGGGGGGGCGGAATTAAATTTCGTGGGGCGCTGGTTGAAGTATACACAGAGTTACTTCCAGGCATCTCTTCGGGGGGGGGGGGGGGGGCCGAGAAAAATCTACCGCTCCCCCCCCCCCCCCCCCCGAACGAAAAGAAATTTATATAGAAAATGTATACTTTTAACAGTGTCCGCCCTCCCCCCCCCCCCCATGAAGCTCTACAGCCCCCCCCCCCCACCCGCGGAGAAAAAAGTCCGGAAGAAACACTGAGTATACATGTTCTATATAGATTATATTTTTGTTAAGAGAGAGGGGGTGTGGGACGCAAGACGTGCTCTTCGAGGACGGCGGGGGTTGCAGCCTGAAAGAAACTCTGTCCACTAGATCTACCCTGCCATTGGGCAGTTATCTATATATATAATTCTCTTCTTCGAGCCGTTAGAAAACAAGCTGCAAACGCTCTCCCTACCTCCCCACCCCTACATGGTTTTAGTGAGCTGTGTTCACTCTAAATGTTTACAAGCAGAGCCAACGATTTTAAACGTAGGGGGGGGGAGGGGGGGAGGAGGGGGGGAGGGAAGGAAGGGGGGGGGGGTTATGGTCCTTAACGAGCTACTTATAGTGTTTTAAAGAAATATTTTCAGTGTCAGCGTTGGTACTGTCGAATTGACAAATTATGAATTATTGAAAATTAGAAACAACTAAATAGCGGCGTATGTTATGCCGCGGGCCGGCTCGTGTAATCTAAAACATATCCATCCAGTTACCTAAGTCAATATCATTTTACTGAAAGGAACATCCTAGCCCACAAAGTTATATGATAAAACTTCACACCCGAATTTAAATTTTAAAGCACACGTGCATGTCTGTCTTAATAACCAAAAGCAGAGTCTACCGCCCCGCCCCCCCCCCCCCCCGAACGAAATGGAATTTATATAGAATTTATATAGAAAACGTTTGCTAGTGTCCGCTCCCCCCCCCCCCCGGAAAATGTTCAATGCCCCCCCCCCCCCCCCCGTAGAAAAAAGTCTGGGAGAAACACTGACCAAAAGGCACCCAGTAGTCACTAGGCATTGCCTACGCAAGCATTATACAAAAATAACTTAAAGTAATGTTGTTGTTGTTGTTTTGGGTTTTAAAGTCCGCTTTCAAACTTACGTTTATATCGCCGACTATTTTTGGTGGTTAGTTCGTTGTTTTTGTGTATATACAGTTTGGTTTCATTTGTTTTCCTTTCATTTTTGGGTGTAGTTTTTTTATTGTACGGGATTTGTATTTTGTTATTGGGTGAATATTATTTTATCTTTACAGCTTATTAGACTGATTCTTTGGTTTTGTGCACATATGTTTTTAACAGGCTATGCAGAGTGGATGGGGCGTCCATAGCCAGTAATGTTTCTGTTGTTAGTAATGTGTTTTTGTTTGTCTGGAAGTAGTTGATGAGTTCTTTTCTTTGATTGTTGTATGCCTTACAGTGTATTAGGTAGTGGTCTATTGTGTTTATTTCATTGCAGGTGTGGCACCATTTCTTTGTGTGAATGAAAGAGGCTGATCCTAGACGCAGCCTTGTAATTTTTTTATTAATGGGTGGCCGTTGGTCTTCTGTAACCTGCAGTCTCCCGTCGGGTGGTCGAAGTATGTTAAAGTAATAAATAAATAGAGTTCTTTATAATACCGAGTCGGGTTTGAAATTTATGGCAGCCCGTTGGACAATTTGATTTATGCCTGTCATACAAAGCCTTTAGTGCGGTAGTAAAATGTGTCTTGGGCGTCCGTACAGGAAGTCGGGCGAGCCAATAAATCGAGGCATTTATTGACAGGTGGTAAAACGGTATTCCGTAGATTTTGGAAAGTAAAATAATAAAAGCCAATGAAGAAAGTTATCAAATTATTAAAATCGGGGCATTTATTGACAGGTGGTAAAACGGAATTCCGTAGATTTTGGAAAGTTAAATTAAAGTCAATGAAGGAAGTTGTCAAATTATCAACAGAAATAATAAGATTTTAACATATTCGTGTTATTTTATGAATAAAATATTACATAGATTTTAGAAAACAATGCAAACAAAAGCACGCGATTGGTATGGACGTTAAGTATTTAACATGGCCTTTTACCCACCCACTCCTTTCTATGTAAGTAATCAGTGCCACCCCCTCCCCCAGCCCTTTCGCATACGTTACGACAAATTAACACCGTTACATGTGTGATGTATTGAACTGAAACAAGGGGTCGGCGTGGTCGAGTCGGTAAAGCTCAAGGTTGCTAAACCGAAAAGTCTCGAGTTCGAATCCTCGGACAAAAAAATCTAATAACTGCTGCCTTCGTTCTTGGTTGGAAAAAGGCTATGGATGCAAATCCAAAAAAAAATATCGAAGGCATCACAAGTTGAGACGTAATACTTAATTGTGTTGAAGGAAATCCCTTCCAACACAAAAGTTAAGAACAAAGAAGATGACCTGAGACCATAACATTTAAACATTGTAATCATTACAGGCTATTCCTTTCAAGAATTTTCTGTCCTAGTTTTAGATAAATAAAACCTGACTACAACTAACACAGACTCGTGTTAACTTTATTTCCACATTTTTTAAAATAGACTGTTAATTTTGAAATAAACGCTCTTTTAATTATCTTTAAGAGAATCATGGTTCACCGTTTCTATAAGTTGTCCTAGACTAGTTACCTCAATTATTGTTTTAAAAAGTGAACTTAAGACACGACTACTTATTGCCGAGTGACTTATGTAGACAGTTGGAGCAACTAGCCCAGGTTCAAGCTTTTTGTTCACGGTCTATGAAGAGTTTCTTCCAGGCATCTCTTCAGGGGGGGGGGGGCAGAAGAAAGTCTACCACTTCCCCCTCCCCGAACGAAATGAAATGTTTACAGAAAATATATACTTTTAACAGTTTCGAAATTTTTAGTTCCCCCGGGTGAAAAAAATCTGGAAAAAAACACTGGGTCTATGTTCTCGTGGGTGATATACTAACTATACATCCATTGTGATTAGTTTTCCTAGTGATACGATAGACTTACTATACGTACTTTTGATTCGTTTTTCTAGCGGTAAGATAGACTAACTAATACTATACATCCATTGTGATTAGTTTTTCTAGCGGTAAGATAAACTAGCTATGCATAATTTTGATTTGTTTTTCTAGCGGTAAGATAGACTAACTATAGATCCATTGTGAATAGTTTGACGCAATGTGCTTTTTTTTTTAACAAAAAAAAAGACATTGTAAAAAAAAACTAAAACGTTTTATATACATCACCCTGTCAAGCTAACCTCAGTTCGATCAAACTTTTTAACTCCATATCAACTCCATATCAACTCCATATCAACTATCCCTGCATTTGCCTAAGTCTAACACAGTTATTTACTAAACAGATTTACATAAAGTACACTATTACAGTAATATCGATACCTATATCCACTTTTACAGTATACACATAACGTACAGTATTACATTAATATCGATACCTATCACTACTTTACCACTTACACATAAATACCAACACTTCCTTTTGAACACAAACCTAAATTTCAATTTCCCCAAAAGTTCATTTACATACGCATATATTAGTAAACACATTCATAACTATCGTCGTTTTCACACCAAAGAATAAAACACCTTAGGCACCGTCAAAACCCAGACATACAATTAACACAAAGCCTATCCATGCATGAAGACTAATAACAAACATCGTGTCATAAGATCATACAAGCCTCGTTTGAAAAAACCAACACTTACACCCTATTCCCGTTCTATGCAGTATTGTTCGAGCTCCTTGCATTGACGTACATACCCATAGCGTCACAAAAGTAGGAGTTTCTAGAGTATGAAAGCCTAGACCGTCTTCTTATTCATGCGGGGTTTTATAAAAAGAAAACTAGACATACAAAACAAAATTGGAATGAGTTTAGAAAGTAAATACAAAAAGGGTCTTTTTAATGCAAGTACGGTTGGGTCCTCTTTAACGGAAACGAATCCCTTTTAACAGGATAGGTAGAGTCTCATAGCCTGGTAATAGTAGTGTTGTAATTATTGTTTATGGGTATGGTTAAACATACATGAAAATATGAATATATGTAGTAGTTTGTAACCTTAAGTTTTGCTAGAAGAACGTATTTCTGATTTGTTTCAGAAACATACCCAGTTTGATCACAATACGTTATAGATAGTCGAATTTAGTTAGTCAAACTGACATTTTTTTTTTTAGAAAGTAAGAATTGTAACGAATTTTAATGGGGGAGGGGTGGGGGGTAATGCGTGTTCCAACTTAAAGATTATAAAGGCACTTGATTAAAACTTGAGTTTGAGAAATCTTGGAATATGTTCCAATTTAAGTTCGGGGTATTTAGGAATATGTTCCAATTTAAGTTCGGGGAATTCAGGAATATGTTTCAATTAAAGTTTGGGAAATCTAGGACCATGCTTCCAATACTAATTTCGTAGTAAAATCTACAGGAGTGTTTCTTTCAGGCCTTTCTCAGGACTTCCCCCCACCCCCCACCTTAAGATCGTTCAAACCCACTCCCTCCAGGACGAAATTTTATTATTACCTCCCACCCATCCCCCAGAAATTTAAAATCCGCCCCCAAACCCTTTCTTCCATGGAGCAAAATACCTGATCCAAAGAGCTTGTTATGTTTTTGTTTTTGTGGGTCTCGTTACATGTTGACATGGATTACAACTAGCCGAGTTTAGGACCTTGTTCTAAATTTAGCCTGAAGTGTTCAATAACTTGTTGAATATACCTAGTACACAGGTTCCCAAAACCTATTTAGTTTGAATTGTTATTGTTATTGAAGTTTTCGTTAGTAGGCTCTATATGCTTATATACCACTGGTTTTTTTTTTGTTAACACCTCCCCTCCTACTCCACAAGATACTAGGGGGTGGGGAGTTAAAGATAGCCCATTTTCTCTAATAACTGCTGCACTTGAAAAAAGCAAGCTACAATTATTTTTTAAAATGAAAGTATTTGTTTTAATCCGCTTTAGCCTCTAATCTCATAAAGTAACCCCCCATATTTTACAAAGAGAGTTTTAGGTGTATAATCCAGGCCCAAACCTAATACCGCGGTATCAGACTGATCAGCTTAGATCGAAGGCAACCCAATCACCTACGATCGAAGATAATCGATCGCTATGAATCAGAAAGATAGCTGACGTTTTCCCGATATGTCATTCAGTTCTCTATACATACATACAACATCTGGATTTTAAATAGCTGCCTAAAAGGACAATATAAATCCTAATTAATATTAAAATAATTAATTAAAAGTAAAATAATTAAACGAAAGTCGAGTCATTGTAAAATAGAAAGAATAGTAGAATAGAATTATAGAATAGAAAGCAAAAACGATAAAAATTTGATTTCTATTTCGTCCAGGGGGACGGGGCTATTCTTTTTAAAAAAAGGAGGGGGGGGGGTGGGAAGAACTGAAACAAACACTGCTTTAGATCGTCCTATTAAATTAGCAATTGGAGAAAGTTTTTTAGCTTCCCCAGAGTTAAATTGGAACATATTCCCAGATTCATAGAGAAATATTTTGTTCTGAAATATAGGCCCCTATATTCCTGGGACATTTGATGAGAAATATTTTGTCCTGAGATATTTATTCCTGGGACATTTTTATGGAGACGTTTTGTCCTGAGATATTTAACCCTGTGATATTTTGAGGAGAAAATTTGCCCTAAGATATTTTGTCTTGGGGTCATCCATAAATGACGTCACGCTTTTTTTTGACGATTTTTACCTCCCCCCTCCCCTCCGTCACACGTCGTCACAAAAAGCCAGACCCCCCCCCCCTAAAATGACGTCACACCTCAACCTACAACCCCCCTCAAAATTGCAGTTGAATTTTTTTTAAATATCGATAATTTTCCAAAATCTTGTCTAAACTATTACAATTTATTAAAACAGTTATCTAAAACGCAAAATAACGTCTAAAATTCGTTTTCTAACATTGCTTTTTTATAATGCAAAAATGTGACGTCGCAACATCTGAACCCCCCCCCCCTCCCCCTCATCACACATCGTCACAAAATTACGGAACTCCCCTCCCCCCTACGAGTGTGACGTCATTTATGGATGACCCCCTTGTTGTTCTACAACGTAACGTATTTGTTCATCGAACTTTCGCTTTTGCGCCCAGATTTCTTAGTTAAATTTCACATTTGTTATAAACTAGCATGTATGGTCCTGTTGTCAAATGTCTACCGTGTCAGAGTTGAGAAGCGGTGCAGGTGGCGGTGTTATAAGACCTAACGATCCATAGGGTAGATGAAGCAGAGTTCATGTGTTTCTCGATGGAGCGGTTACCACTATGCCTATCCGCCTTTAATTTCCCTAACGCAAGTTATGTACCCATTAGAGCTGGGTGGACTCAAAGACGTTGCGTAGCAGTCTCATGTCCGAACCGAGATCCGAACTAGAGAATTTCGGGTTCTGTGTCGAACGCTCTAACACCCGACCACGCATTCCCACAATTCTATATTTTTCTTTATAATTTTGATTATGGTGGGCAAACACACGTTCCCTTGACTACGACCCCCCACCCTCGTCAACTTCACCCACAACTAATCTTCATACCCGGATTACCCTACCCCCGTATAAGCCTAATCTGTTGAGATTTAAAACTTAAAACACTTACCCCAAAAGTGTAGTGTCACTCCACTCGGTATAAAAATCCATTTACTGCAAACAAGACCATATCATAGTATAAACAAGCGGCAGTTTGTTTCGTTAAAGTCGTGAACCGAGTATTGATTTTTCATAGATCGACCAAACATTGGACTGAACTGTAGACGTGTGTGTATAGTTATCTCAGTCAGGCTTTTACTTTCAATATGAACGAGGGGTTCAATTTGTACCAGAGGCGTATCTAGGTTTTCGTTGTAGGGGGAGCGAAAAGAGCAAAAACAGGCGCCGAATTTTTAACACGTTCTATATACGTGTATTATATATATATATATATATATATATATATATATATATATATATATATATATATATATATATATATATATATATATATATATATATATATATATATACTACAACCAAAAACAATGAACGTAACACAATCTGTTTTGTAATTCTTGTAAAAAAAATAATAATTCCTTGAAAATTATTTAAGACAAGTGAAATAAGGGAAATAATCACTCTCTTAATATAAATATGAATATATCTACACATTTAATTATAAATGTCAAAACAAATGAATAATTACTCAATAATATAATTAAATTGTTTAACACTATTCGTGTTTACAAAATGTTTTTGTCTATAATCAGAATTTAATAAATCGTCATCATAAATGCCAAAGTATTACAGCATAATGAAAGTTTTTAAAAATCAGAGTTGGTATAAAACCACGCTTTTCGAAATAATAGAAAAACATTCGGAATAACAGCCTACAATTAACTAAACATCGGTCTTTAGTTCAGATCATATATTTTAATTAACTACTGCTTCTTTGTGTTCTTTAAAGATCATTTTTTAACATAGTGATAGGCGTGGGTTAGATCACTGTATTGATCACACACACCTTTTTACTGGTAATTGCAAAAACAATATTCACAGAGTTTTACGTTTAACAAGCTAATGTTCTGGCGCCATGGTACTTTGGTACATCAGAAGCGTAGCGATGGGGGAGGGGGGGGGGACATATGTCCCCGGGCGCCGACCTTAGGGGGCGCCAAAATGGGTTTTAAAAACAAATTAAAATGTCATTTTAGCTGCGTTTTTGCATTATAAATAGTTTGAGGGGGGGGGGGGGGGGGGAAGAGGTGTGTGGGGGAGGGGAGATAACCAACTCAGAGTGAACATAGCGTCAGTTTTTAGATGACTGTTCTAAACATACATATATATTACACAAATATATATTACACAAATATATATTACAGAAATAGATTTAAATAAGTTGCAGTGGTATTATGACAATATTTTTTACAGAGGGGTCCATGGGGGGGGGGGGGGGGGAAATTGTAACTGTTTCATATAATTTGTAATCGTAATCACTATCGTGCAAACTGTAAGAATACTACTACTTCATCGTGATGACGTTGTTGAACTTGTCAAAATTTCCCCACCACTGCGCAGTTTGCTCATAAGTAAATTTAAATAGAGGTGCCACATCAGTTGTATTTGTTTCTGTATTGTAATTAAAAAAAAATTAATCACACGATTCAAACTGTATATATAAAGTAATTATGTGTGAAGTTTTATGTATAACATCTTCTAATTCAATTATTCGTAAGCAAATACATTATACAGTTTGCCTTAAACTTAACACCCCTCTTGCCAAGTGGTACTACCGTACAGGTTTTTTAAACATTGCAATGCATCGTAATGGTTATTTTTAGAATGGCAAACTGATACAGCTGTTAATACGTGTTGTAAACGTAGACACTACTAGACTAGTACAATAATGTTTAATTGCTGCATGAAAAGAAATCTTGTGATTTACATAGATGTGTCGACCAAAAATATTTGTTTTTAAAATATCATTGTTTAAAACTTAGAGTTTAAAAAGTTTCCAAAAAGGCGCCACTTTGCTGAAAATGGCCAGAGGGGGAGCGGCCGCTCCCCCTGCTCCCCCCCTGCGTACGCTACTGATTTGTACATAGAGGTCTATAAAAAGGACTGTCTATATGATATAAATGTTGGTAGCAAATTAGCACTGTAAAATCATGGTTTTGCCATTCGCTACTGACTCTCTACATCATTACAGACTCTCTACCTCACTACTGACTATACCTCATTACTGATTCTCTACCTCACCACTGACTCTCTCCTCACCACTCAATCTCTATCACACCACTGATTCTCTACCTCACCACTGAATCTCTACCTTACTACTGACTATCTACCTCATTACTGATTCTCTACCTCACTACTGACTCTCTACCTCATTACTGACTCTTTACCGCACCACTGACTCTCTACCTCATTACCGACTCTCTACCTCACCACTGACTCTCTACCTAATTACTGATTCTCTACCTCACCACTGACTCTCTACCTTACTACTGACTCTCTACCTCACCACTGACTCTCTACCTCACCACTGACTCTCTACCTCACCACTGACTCTCTACCTCACCACTGACTCTCTACCTCACCACTGACTCTCTACCTCACCACTGACTTTCTACCTCACCACTGACTCTCTACCTCACCACTGACTCTCTACCTCACTACTGACTCTCTACCTCACCACTGACTCTCCACCTCACAACTGACTCTACCTCACCACTGACTCTCCTACTCACTACCGACTCTCTACCTCACCACTGACTCTCTACCTCACCACTGATTCTCTACCTCACTACTGACTCTCCACCCCATTACTGATTCTCCACCTCACAACTGACTCTACCTCACCACTGACTCTCCTACTCACTACCGACTCTCTACCTCACCACTGACTCTCTACCTCACCACTGACTCTCTACCTCACCACTGACTCTCTACCTCACCACTGATTCTCTACCTCACTACTGACTCTCAACCCCATTACTGATTCTCCACCTCACAACTGACTCTACCTCACCACTGACTCTCCTACTCACTACCGACTCTCTACCTCACCACTGACTCTCTACCTCACTACTGACTCTCTACCTCACCACTGACTCTCTACCTCATTACTCTCTACCTCAGTACTCTCTTCCTCACCACTGACTCTCTACCTCACCACTTACTCTCTACCTCACCACTGACTCTCTACCTCACCACTGACTCTCTACCTCACTACTGCCTCTCTACCTCACCAGCGACTCTCTTCATCACTAATGACTCTACCTCATTACTCTCCACCTCACCACTGACTCTCTACCTCACCACTGACTCTCTACCTCACCACTGACTCTCTACCTTACTACAGAATCTCTACCTCACTACTCTCTACCTCACCACTAACTCTCTACCTCACCACCAACTCTCTACCTCACCACTGACTCTCTACCTCACCACTGACTCTCTACCTCACCACCAACTCTCTACCTCAACACTGACTCTCTACCTCACCACTAACTCTCTACCTCAACACTGACTCTCTACCTTACTACAGAATCTCTACCTCACTACTCTCTACCTCACCACTAACTCTCTACCTCACCACCAACTCTCTACCTCACCACTGACTCTACCTCACCACTAACTCTCTACCTCACCACTAACTCTCTACCTCAACACTGACTCTCTACCTCACCACTCACTCTCCCCGTACCTCCCCACAGAGGACACGATGCTGCGGGTGGAGATGGAGGAGTGGAGCGGCAAGAAACACTACGCCGTCTACAACCACTTCAAGGTGGACGGCGCCAAGCAGAACTACCGCCTCCACATTTCCGGCTACAGCGGCAACGCCGGGGACTCGATGACGTCACCTTGGGAGAACCACGACGGGATGCCGTTCAGCACGAAGGATCAGGATAACGACGGGAGGTAACTGAGGGATAGGGGGCGGTGGGTGGGGGGGGGGGGGGGGGGGAGACAGGAGGGAACTCGGGGCGCTTGAGGGGAGGTAATTGGGGTCACTAGGGGAGGTAACTGGGGGCAATGAGGGATAGGGGGCGGTGTGTGTGTGGGGGGGGGGGAGACAGGAGGTAACTCGGGGCGTATGAGGGGAGGTAACTGGGGTCACTAAGGGGAGGTAAGTGGGAGCACTTGAGGGTTGGGGGGTGTGTTTGGAGACGGGAGGTAACTGGGGTCACTAAGGGGAGGTAAGTGGGAGCACTTGAGGGTTGGGGGGTGTGTTTGGAGACGGGAGGTAACTGGGGTCACTTTGGGGTGGGTGGGGGCAGGGGGTAAATGGTGTCATTTCTTTTTTGAGGGGGGGGGGGGGGAGAGGAAACTGAGTCATTTCGGGGGGGGGGGGGGGAAATTGACTTGGGTCACTTATTGAGGGAGGGGACGGAAGGGAACTGGATCACTTTGGGGAGAGGAGGAAAGACGTATCGTAACTGAGGTCATTAGGGGGTTAGGGGGACGATGGGAGGTAGCATGGGTCACTTAGGGGGTGGGGGGAGGGGAGTGTCTCTGGGTGGACTGACGAACTTCACCTTATTTAAGATATGTGATACTTATGGATATGATTAATGAGAAGGGATATTAAGGATCAATGAATTTGGGCGGATCAATGTCATATCGCGTTTAATATTTAATGAAATCAAAGAATTAAGTGTTCAATGATGCCGAGAATTAAAGTGATAATTACATCTCTACTCCACCCTGATGCAGTAACGCTAGGCGGTAGCAGCGTTTGATTTTTAATCCACACCAACTGCCATATCCACCATCCAGGTCATTTAGCTATACGAGATCTAAGAACACACTTAAAAACTATGACAGGATCACACACAAATCATACGTGTGATCTAAAACGGTTTAAAAAGATCTAGCTCGTACTTATTGAAAATGGAAAGATTTTTTTTTTTTAAACAACTTTATGTACATGAATTCTACATGTAAGCGATCAAAGTAAGGGAAATAACCAATGAAATGTTCAACATTTTTGTTTTTACCTCGCCTAAAATGTAAGACTATGAAGCGTATTACGCGGATAGCTGTCCTACTCGGCGATCAAAGTAAAGGGAAATAACCAATGAAATATTTTTTTTTTACCTCGCCTAAATTGTAAGCGGATAGCTGTCAATCGATAGATCTAGGGGACAACACTCTACACTTGAGGACACAGTTTTATGATGACGTCTTTGAAATTAAAGACGAGGGTGGGAAAGCTGAGGTGAATGATGGTGGAGTGTGTGAAGGGGGGGGGGGGGGGAATCTACCAGGCACAACTTTGCATTGCTTGGAATCATAGTATTTAAAGGCCGAATAGCGCAGTACTGATTGTTTTCGTTAGATACATGTAAAACAAAACCAGCTAATGTGAGGCTATCCAATAATAATTCACACGACAATTTTAAAATGGGTTGCCTACCTTATATATTTTAGTAGGCCCATTCGTTCTTTTCACTTAAAAGTTTTTCTACACATACATATATATGTATAACTTAACTATATATATATATATATATACAAACTTTGCTAAGAAATTAATCAAATATATTCTCTATACACAGGTACTACGACTCTTGCGCCGAGCACTATAAAGGCGCCTGGTGGTTTAACAACTGCTTCGAGGCCCACCTCAACGGCAGATACTACCACAAGGGCTTCCACAAATTCTACTTCCAGCGCGACGGCATCCAGTGGAACACCATCCACATGTACTCCTCCCTCAAGGCCGTGCAGATGATGGTCAAGCCGGCCGACAACCCCAGGAGCACCGCCTCTAATGAGCTGACCAGCAACATCTAGGAGTCCCATCCTCCGGAGCGTACACTCAACGCGTATATTCACAACAAGCGGAGAAATTTAAAAAAATAAAATTGTTTGCAGTTGTATGTTGCAGTTGTATACATGTATTCGCAGTAGTCATCTATATCTACATCAACCTCTGGTCAAGTCATTATAAGCTAATTTTGCTTCATTTTGATTTTTCGTCATTGGAATTTCTAGAACCTTTTCAGGTATTCAGAAAGTTTGCATTCTTACAATAGTCTTCTTCATTGAAGGAATTGAGTAAAACAATTTATTTACCAGATTACACAAGTAGCAAATTAACATTTGCTGTGAGTACTAACGATGGTTATAAAACATTATATTTCTTATTGAAGGAAATGACTAGTAAGAATGCAGCAAAGCGATTAGTTTGTAAATATTGAGGTTTGTTTTGAAGGTGTACAGTGTATCTAGAACGGGATGTGTGAAGTACCTGTGTATTCTCAAAGAATATGTGAATTGGAAATGAAGAGTTGCTCTATGAAATGTAGAGTTCATGAAACAGTATTTATTTGTTGAACTTGAGAAGTGTACTTTTTAAAGAGTGTTGGTTTAGGTGATTTTCAGAAGTGAAGAGCAAGAAAGTTTTCAAATGGATTAGGTGATCTTCAGAAGTGAAGAACAAGAAAGTTTTCAAAAGTTGAATAAGCTTTGTGTTTTTGTTCAGAGTAGGCCCTATATGTTCTGAAATACTAAAATGTTTATTTCAAAGTAATATTTAGGATTAAATATTGCAGTGGAAGTAAAGTGGAAATACAATCAACACACAGGAAGGAGATTAAGTTTTATTAAAAAGGTGGAAGGGAAAAACGTTGAAAATGTCAAATTTAAAAGTTGGAATTGGAAAAAGTCTCAAATTAAATATTTGGAGCTAAACTTTATAAAATTGAAATGTGGAAAGAGAAGCTAATGTGGGTTAAAATTCTAAAAATTGTTAACAGTGTGGAATTTCACTATTGAACTGAAAAAAAAATAGTCTTAAGATGCTTGAAATGGAAACTGTCGCAGATGAAAGAAAAACATTGTGAAGCGTGGAGTTATGTTTGCTGTGGCTGTACTGTGATAGCTAGAGCAAAAACTAAAGCAAGTCTAGTGTACCCTTCACAAGACAGCACGTATGACATATATGACAGTACGTGACAACTGTAACATGGAGGCTTTCATGGCCGTTCACTTATTCACTCTTGGTTTATTGTTTATGTAGACTAAAAATCCTTATACAAATGTATCAGCATTTAAAAATTTGTAAATTAGTTGTTGTTTTATTTGTAATTTTTTATATGTTCTATATATATAATGTACAAATAATTAAAATGCATTAAAGTGTATTTTAAAGAAATTCAAAAACAATTTTAACAAGCCTAAATCTAACTAAACAAATATTAACTTTTCTTGAATTTACGTAAATCTAAAAGTGGTGAAACGTTCTCAAAATTGCTTATAAAATGAATATACATTTTAATGTGAAAAACAATAATCATATTAGTATACCTTGCTAGTAAAATAAAATTACATGCACAAAATGACACTCATAAAATAACTGCAGTACTAGACTCATTTTATTGGCAAAAATTAAACAAATTCCAAAATCATTTTTTCGAACAAGATTAAGTTTTTTTTTTGTTATCTAGAATAAATAGAAATAAAATTATTAAACTCTAATTTTATTGAATAAACAGTACAAAAAGAACCTTCAATTTCTCTTTTGATCTTTAATTAAACAAATAACTGACCTTACTTACCTAATTAGTCATATGAATAAATTAACGATGGCCAATTTTCCTTCATTTATTATTAAAAGGCAGTTATTAAAAAACATAATCAGGCAAATAAAACACTGATTTAAATAACTAACAAAATAGATTGTCAATAGTTGTTTTTTGTCTAATTACCTCAAGAAATTGTCAATATTTACGTGTATATAGCATAATAAAATAACATTTTCTGCAAAACCACAAATAATGAACAACTTCTACACATAATCATTTAACTAAGAGCCTAATTCTTTAAAAAATTTTACAAGCATCTTTTTTCTGTACACAATTTTATTATATATTGACTCCATTTCAATCTAAAATAAAATCGGCAAATTACTTATGACCTTTTTAAATATATTTACATTTTCTTTGAGATATAATTCTTTACATGGGCAACACCATAGGTGAAATTATATTAACCTTATGTCCTTATACGCTGTTTCATATTACGCTGAACAGTGTAAATTTAAGTATGCTACAAAGAGTAATAAAATTAATATTTCTAAGTAGAATTTGTTTAGTGCTTTGAGTAATTTACATCAGGTAAGGGCTTACATGTGTAAATTTATGAACGTAAGTATATTGAAATTTTAGTCTTCCTAAAGTTTAAACTGTTTTTGGTTTTAAAATCTAGAATTTATTTTTTTGCATGAACTTTAAATGAAAGGAAAAATACAGGTTTTTTTTAAATTTTATCATCAAAATAATTAAAGCAATAACTGATAGTAATGCTAATTTTTTTTCTGATTCATAAAGCACATCCTTACATAGATTGTATATTATCCTTGAACATACATTTTTAAAAGTTGGCATTGTCTATACTTTTAAAACAGTTTTAGTTAAATACTAACGCTTAATGATTTTCACGCAGATATCAAATTGATTGGTTCATGGTTCACAAATTTGCCAACCAAAATTTGTTTGAATTAAAGGCTTTAGAGTCACAGATACCATGCTGTCTTTTTTTTTCACTTTAAATATGTTTTGCTAAAGCCTTTTAAATTAAATTTGAACGTTATTTCATTTGTAAAGTATGATTTTGGCTTTTATCAGATGAATTAAAGCCATAATAAAAACATGTCCTATAAATTACAGTTATGAAGAGATCATAATAAAATGATGTAGACAATAACTAAAGGGTTTATAATTAAATTTCTTTCTCAATGTCAAATAATTTTTAAAAATGGTCAGTTTAAATTTATTTTTAGAATCACGCCTGGGTCTATTTTACCCAATTATTTCTATTGTGTAAATTTTTAAATTAAATATCAAGTAGAATTACATGACTAAAAGTAACGATTTAAAGTAAATTGTATATTAAATAGTTATTAATACAGGAGGTTCATTTGATAATTGCAGCTAAAATGATTTAAAATGCTTTTCATTCATTCATTATATATTTTTTCTAAAGAAAGACAAATTTGCCTTAAAAATGTTACTAACGTTTCTTTATAATTAACATACAAGTATTAAGTTTCAATTTATTTAATTAATGTAAATTGGTGTGATTTGTCAATTATTTTGTTCTAGACAGATACAACTCAGTGTTATCAAACTTAGTAGGTCTATTCATTGTTTGTTTTATTATTTTTTGTTGTACTTTTTGAATATTTAAAATAGCATGTCCTATGAAATCTTTTATGTGTGAGATTTAAAATGTATACAACACCTCAAATTTGTGATGTAACTGTATTTGTCTTGTATAGCTTAGTTGATTGGTCATCAATTCAAATAACATTAACCCCTGAATAGCATAAATATAAAAATTAAATATATTAAATTTTAAAATAAGTCCATCTTATAATTTTAAATTTAATAGTTACCACAGTAAAATTATCTTGGCATTTTATCTAACCATAAATTAAATTTCAACTTATAATTTTTTTCAATAAGTGAAAAATTTTCTTTAATCTTTTTACCGTATTATAATTTTTTTTTTGTATTCAGAGAATGTCTTCCAAAGTATAAATATTTTTTGTTTAATTCTTAAACGTTTACCACAAAATGTTTATAATAAATGCTCTGTCAATTCTCAATTTTTAAATGGTAAATGAAGTATAGGTTTAATTTTCCTTTAGTAATCATGAACTAAAAATGAAAATAATTATGGAATATATTGTTAAGCATTTTTATTAAAAAATAAAATAAAATAGATCTATGTAAATAAAATAGGATGTCTGTAGTTTATTTAGCTGTAGTTTAAAATTGTAAAGTTAGTTGGACCACACCTGGAACCTAGGCATTTAAAGCAACAGTTATATGCGCTAGTCAATTCTCCCTAGGAGACAACTAATTATACAACATGATGAATGGTCTAATAGTGACCTAAGTATTTCCAGCCCTTGTTTTTACCTGCCCTGTGAAGTCCAGGTGTGGGCTGTTGTTGTTGCTGTATGGTTTCATTAATTTGATAGCGTTGACGTTGAATATGTTTCTTAATAAAACACATGTATTAATGTTTGAAGAAAACATTTATTTACTACATTGCAACTGAACAGAAACACACAAACAGTTGACAATCTTACTCAGTGTTAGAGTTAGAATATGGAAAGAAGTTTAATTGGTTACTTCAAATATAATTAATATATAAAAGCAATAAAAATTATGAAATATTTTTATTTATTTACTTTTTTAATGTTTTGGATACATTATTTTGAAAGCAATACAATATATTAGTATTAATACTATGTTACTTATACAAAAAGTATATACATATATAAACTTATATTTTATGTTTCAGTCTAAAACGAAATTTAAATTTATTATAATATATAGTATAGTGATACAAATTAATATTATAGTTGTAGTAGAGAAAAAAAGAATGATATAATTCTTGATTGTTGACGTTATTAGTTTAAAAAAAATATAAATCAAAACTTGATTTATTTTGTTGTATGATTACTTTAAAATGATTCATTTAACTTACTAAACTGTACTTGTAATACTTTTTCTGCTAGTATGATGTATCATTCTTCTTTATAATTCATGATTTATAACTCTTTAGTTTTACTAACAAAAATAATTTCCCAGTTAATTCCCCTGAAAATACTACGACATTATTTGTTTCTTTTTATTTCTTTCATTTTATAAGTTTAGGTTTTATTTTCTTTAAAATTCTCATAGTAAAATTAATTTGTTATTTATTATTATAACTTTTCCTTTCAAATGTGCATGTTAAATTTATTTGATCGAAGCATACAATACTGCAAAGAACATTTTGGTTGTCTACATTTTTTTTTATGTAATTTTTTTTTTTAAATTGCCTTTGTTCAATACCAAAAAAACATTAGCAACAATTCGAATGTTGTACTCAAAGCTTGTTGCTTCAACTTACAACACAACCTTGCCATGTACAACATGTAAACCATGTACACATGTGCCGGGGTGTACAGCTTTGCGTACACTGTCTGCTAATTTTTCACATAATTTTTTTGTTCTTTTAATCACGATAATTTAAAGGCACCACAACTGTACATTTAGTTTTCATGAAAGGAAAAAAAAATAAAGCTACAAAATGCTCGTGTGTTTTATTTTTTCTAATTATATATATATATATATATATATATATATATATATATATATATATATATATATATATATATATATATATATATTAATTTAACTATGTCTAATCTCAATAACCTGTTTAGGTAAAAAAACGAGTTTTTTGGCTTTTCCGGGAAATACAGGAAGGAATTCCAGTAATTTTTTTGGCCAACAATCATCCTCGGAACTTGCTTAACATATTTGCTTTTGGAACTAGTCCTCGATATTGCTTCGTTGAGGAGGAGATACGACTTAAAGCTGCGGACACACATCGGACACACATCCATCCAGAACGAGTTAATAATCGCAATTGTCTGTATGGAAACTGCGCTAAAAAGGTATCGATAGTACTTTAGTGGCTTCTATATCAACGTTATTGGTTAGAGTTAGGGCATGACGGAACGAACAATGTAATGTGAGGCTTACCAGTAACTAGTAAGATGTATAAAGTAATACATACGACCTTTCCAATTACCTAAGTGACCTTACATCTTAACAATGTTACTGCTTAGTGAAAATTGCTTTGTTATCCGTATAATGTGAATGGTTGCTAGTGTAAACACACGGATTACCAATTCAACTTTGGCTGAATAGGTTATTGGTGGTCGTCCATGTATGACCCTCAAACCGTTTGGGGGTGGGGGGGGGGGGGGGGAGAGGGGGAAGTCAGACCTTTGTGATGTGTGACAAAGGGTGTGTTACTATTACTAATGGGGGGAGGGGAGGTTTTTCAGAAACTATGAAGCATTTTTTAAAACTTGTTTTGGAAACTGAATTTGAGCAGAATATATATATATATATATATATATATATATATATATATATATATATATATATATATATATATATATATATATATATATATATATATATATATATATATATTAAATTTTAATAAAAAACCGATCAATAAATCCAATGTTGAACATGTTCAGTTGATATTAAAGAAGAAACTGAAAAAAAATTGCAATGCATCAATGTTGGACGTCATCTTATTAAGGAGGTGGTGGTAGGTGTTGGGGGGGGGGGCTCTGATATAATTGATGATGTGTAACGATGAGTAGGGGCATGTCAACATTATCGCCAAAAAAAAAGACCCTAACGTCATATATGAATGACCCGTTGGGGTCTTGAGGTATTCTACAACAACCTTCCTCTACCGTGACAACCCCTTTCTGGAACTCCCCTCTGTCAACCCGGTTCCACCAACCGCAACAACCCATCAACAGATAACAATACCTTAACTCATCTTGACTAAAAATTTTTTTTAACTAATCTACTACACCACATTTCCCAATATCGACCCCACTCAGTGGCGTAGCGAGGTCGGGTGTCACCCGGTGCGGCACTTAATGGTGTCACCCCCCCAGAGGCATAGAGACCCTTCCCAGGGACAAACTTTCAAATTTTCGATTTGCACCCCCCTCTCAAACTTTCGATTTGCACCCCCCCCCCTCAAGTTTTCGATTTGCACCCCCCCCCCCTCAAACTTTCGATTTGCACTACCCCCTCAAACTTTCGATTTGCACCCCCCCTCGAGTTTTTCTCTATATATTTTGCTATTTTTTGCCTTGGTGTCACCCCCCCTAAATGGTGTCACCCGGTGCGGTCCGCACCCCCCGCCCCCCCCCTCGCTACGCCCCTGACCCCACTATCCTAAATATCCTACACCACGTCAACCCCAACTCCACCAACCCTATAGTCATATCGCGTGCCCTAAACAAAAAAAAAAACGTTAACAAAACGCCCTTCCCCCCCCCCCCCACCCCACAACAAAGCGCTGCCCGTTCAAGTCTGCTATGTTTTATGGCTTATAGAAGACCAACATTCCAAGCCTGCTCGCGTCCCCTACAATGACAGCTCCTAATCCTGGTGTCTTGTAGTGCCGCAATCGATGAAGCTATTTCGCCTGGATTACCGGCCCTGAACAGCGCCAATATTGAAGTGTTCTGTTGTGTTTTTTATCAGGGGAGAAAAAACAAGGGGAGAAACAGGTAAGGGGAAATAATGATGTCTATTTTTCAATTGATATAGACTGTATACGGGTTATGGGGTGACTTCCAAATATACTTGCCTAAATTAGTGTTGTAGTATGTATTTTAATTTCATAGAACTTAAAAAGTAGGAAAAAATGAATGAATTAAATAACTTTCAAATATTTTCTTTGGTATGTTTAAATTACACAAGCTGTAAGATTATATATTGAAAAAACAATTAAGTTATAATAAAAATTAAATACATCAATATCTGCGTTAATAACTGTTCTTACAAAATTCTCAAATAATAAAACGGGATCTGCGATAGATACTCCTCAGTTAATCGACACAGTTCCAGACAGTTTGGAGTTTGATAATGATATTGAATCAACTGAAGTTGAAGTGAATTCGACAGAAGCTCAAATTTCCAACAGTGAACCTCAAGAAAAACTTATAAAGCTTCCCTTATCTCGTATTAGAAGTATTATTAAAACTGATACCGATGTCAAAATCGCAAGTCAGGAGGCAGTTGTAGCTCTTGCTAAAGCTGCGGAACTTTTTATTCAAAGCTTAGCTAAAGAGGCTGCCATTCGAACTCTGAGGGAGAAAAGAAAAACAGTTTTACGGAAACACTTAGATACTGTATTTGAAACAAAAGACTGTTATTCATTTTTGGAAGGTGTATTAGAAAGCTTTGAAGACTGACAGAATAAAAGCCATTCTTTCAAAAAAAAAAAAAAAAAAAAAAAAAAAAAAAAATAAAACGCCTCCTTTAAAAAAAAAAAAAAAAAAAAAAAAAACCCGCCTCCTAAAAAAAAAAATATGTAAGAACAAGTAGTACGCCTTTAAATGTACTTCATACATTAAAGCACATTGAATGGTCCCATAACTGCTTTTGCTAGGATTCGAAGGGCATCACTACCATTCACTTATTTTAATTCAATCCCTTTATGTGGTTAGCCCTTTGATTTTTGTACTTATCAGCCTTAGCTTCACCACATTATTTGCCATTATTTATATTCATTACCTGATCAGTTGTATTTAAATTTGGTTGATGTAAAACCCCTGAATGTTTCTACAGACTAATGAACTCACACACCTTGTAATGTTTTATTTAAAATAAAAAGATTTTTAAAAAAAATGAAAACTAAAAAAATAAAAAATAAAATAAAACCCCTCCTACAAAAAAAAAAAAAAAAAAAAAAAAAAACCTACCACACACATCCAGTCTCAGACCCTTGGTCGGCAACCTGCGGCTCGCGAGCCTCATACGGCTCCATCTATGCCAGGATGCGACTGCCAGTTCCATATTAATTATATTATTTTATTTCCATAAAACAACTAAGAATCGATGGAGTAGAACGTATACTGACAGCTGCTTGGGTACTAGGCCCAGCTCCACAACTGATGTGGCCAGCCCCGTGGACATTTTTGTTTTTAATATTTTCAATTTTATTTATTTTATTCAGAAGGCATTTTCTTATGTGTCAGTGTGCATTAATTTGACTTTAGTGATATGGTTTTTTAGTTATTAAATTCTAAATTGGGTAGGCCGAGTGTTATAGTTATATATAATTTGATTTTGTTATCCAAGCAGAGCTAGTTCCATACTTTATTATGTTTTGTGCAAAACATTCGTATGTTTTTATATGAACAAATATTATTTCTTAAACCCATTCATTTTTAAATCCATTTACCTAATCCTAATCAAATACCATAATGTTGAAAAAAAATATTAGTGGCTCTTTAAAAACTGGGAGACATTGTCTAAATTGTATCTTTTGGCTATTCCGTCTCAAAAGATTGCCGACCCATGGCCCAGACTTTTCACGATAAACCCGTTCACTGTGGAGTTGAAGTAAATATTAGTAATGTTGACAACGTTGAGGGATTGACTCTTCCTCAGCCTTATTCGACAAAAAATTAGTTTAATACAGCAAGCTGAAATATCTTGTAAATAAAAATTGAATAGTGCAACATGGCTTCAGCCAACAAGCTAGACTGTAAGGTCTGGCTGCAGCCAGAGTTGTGCTGATCGAAATATGGCCCAGATCTTTGCCAGCTTACTGATATAAAGTGGCTCAAAACTTTGCCATATAGTGGCCCAAAACTTTGCCAACTTACTGATATATATTGGCCCAAAACTTTGGCAGCTTAATGATATATAGTGGCCCAAAACTTTGGCAGCTTATTGATATATAGTGGCCCAAAATCTTGTCAGATTACTGATATATAGTGGCCCAAAACTTTGCCATATAGTGGCCCAAAACTTTGCCAACTTACTGATATATATTGGCCCAAAACTTTGGCAGCTTAATGATATATAGTGGCCCAAAACTTTGGCAGCTTATTGATATATAGTGGCCCAAAATCTTGTCAGATTACTGATATATAGTGGCCCAAAACTTTGCTTGCTTACTGGTATATAGTGGCCCAAAACTTTGTCAGCTTACTGATATATAGTGGCCCAAAACTTTGCTTGCTTACTGATATATAGAGGCCCAAAACTTTGCTTGCTTACTGATATATAGTGGCCAAAACTTTGCCAGCTTAGTGATATATAGTGGCCCAAAACTTTGCCAGCTGACTGATATATAGTGGCCCAAAACTTTGCCAGCTTACTGATATAAAGTGGCCCAAAACTTTGACAGCTTACTGATATAAAGTGGCCCAAAACTTTGCTTGCTTACTGATATAAATTGGCCCAAAGTGGCTTAAACCTTTGCAAGCTTACTGATATGTACCAATTTCTAATACCAGAGGTCAACGCGTCCCCAAATACCAAGCCTCACCTGCCCGAGGGTTCTTCTTCTTCTTCGTTCTTAATTTTTAGAGTTGAAAGGGATCGAGATTTATCTGCCAGTGGGTTTGAACTCGAGACTTTTTCGAATTTATCATGAGCTTTTTGCCGACTCGACCACGCCTCCAACACATTTAAGGATACATGTCAACTGGTTATGCGCCATTGAGGCCATTGGCTCCGACGTCAGCCTGCTTTTGTTTTTGGATTTGCTTCCATAGCTTTTGTCCAACCAAGAACAAACTACAAGGCAGCAGTTGTTTAATTTTGGAGTTGTCTCTCCTAGAAGAGTGGCTGTCCCCAGCTAACGAGACTCGTCTGCCCGAGGGTTCGAACTCGAGACTTTTCGGTTTAGCAACCATGAGCTTTACCGACTCGACCCCTATTGATTAAACTATAGACAGTAATTAAAAGGCGATCGGGTTATGTCACCTGATCTATAACACAGAGATCACGTGATCGTAACAGGTCTTGTAACAGCTAAAAGGGCAGAAGACCGACTGCCTGTTGGGGTAGGGACTCCAATCCTGACATTGGCTTCACATCTGAGCTGTACTAGGTCTCGACACCACTGAAATAAAGATACCCCTTACGTCTAATTAGGCGTTGGTGGGGAGGGGGGGGAGAATGAGAGAGTAGAGTTTTTCTCTGACATTTCTTCGGGGGAATAAGACGCCATGCCCCCCCCCCCCCCGCCCCCATTAGAACGAACTAGAAAAAAAAATGTATGTAGTGAACATTTATAATCTAATACCAGTGCACCGCCCATCTGAAAATTTAAGCCCCCCCCCCCCTCGGTGTCCGGTCAAAAAACCCCTGGACAAAAACCCCCTGGACATAAACCCTCCGACATAAACCCCCTGCGACATAAACCCCCTGGACAAAAACCCCCGCGATATAAACCCCCTGGACAAAAACCCCCCGCGATATAAACCCCCCGGATAATAACCCCCGGACAACCTATGTTTCCACTTGACATTTGGAACATGCACACACGTGCAGAAGACCATATGCCAAAAACAAACAACTCAATTGAAGGCTGGCACAGAAGTTTTCAGTCGCATATGGGATGTTGCCACCCAAATATTTGGAAATTTATTGACTTTATTAAAAAGGAACAATCTTTCCAAGAGGTTTATTGTACACAGATTAATTCAGGTCACTGTGTACCAAAACAGAAAAAAAATATATTGATAGCAGCTCTCGAATTTTAACTGTTGTTAAAAATTTTAATGAGTCCACCATTATTGAGTATTTGCGAGGCATCGCTCACAATCTGTCTTTTTAAAGTTATAATAAAAATAAAAGTTTTTTCCTAATGTTTGTTTTGTATTTATATATTAATTTTGTTTCTCGTCATCTTTGGTTTTTCCTTATATAAACCTCAATTGGGGGGTTTTTGTCCAGGGGGTTTATATCGCGGGGGGTTTTTGTCCAGGGGGTTTATATCGCGGGGGGTTTTTGTCCAGGGGGTTTATGTCACAGGGGGTTTTTGTCCAGGGGGTTTATGTCGGAGGGTTTATGTCCAGGGGGTTTATGTCCAGGGGGTTTTTGACCGGGAGCCCCCCCCCCCTCACCCCTCTTTCGTAGAAAAATGTCTGAAAGAAACATTGCAATGACCACTTATTAAAATTTATGACATTTTTTGTTGAAATCAGCGGAAATTGAATATCAACGACATAGTTATGCAGGTCTTATAAAGTAACTAGATCATTTAATAAAATACGACATCATTGTTTTTTTCTTGGCTTACGACAACCGCTTGCGTAAACGCCCAGTACGGCCATTCCTATAGTATGGCTTAGGTTTACGACTAGATCTAGTGATAGAATCAGAACTATGGTATGCTTAGCCAACGTAGTCGTCAAACCGGCGTTCACAAAAGGAATGAATCGCCTGTTACGTTAAAGTTTTCCTTACGTTCTATCAGTGGCGTACCCCCAGAGTCGAAGCGACCCTTCCCGGGGACAAACTTTCAATTTTCTATTTGCACCCCCCCCCCCCCCCCACCCCAACAAACTTTCGATTTGCTTCTCCTAAAGACTATTTAACACTCGAATTAATCACTTAATTAAGTGGAATTATCATTTTTCTCTATGTATTTTGCTATTTTTTGCCTTGGTCTCACCCCCCCCCCCCCTAAATGGTGTTACCCGGTGCGGTCCGCACCCCCCACCCCCTCGCTACGCCACTGCGTTCTATTCCTTTTCTCAGCTAA